TTGCACGAACCAAGTGACCTCTATAGTAAAGGAATTGTTGTTATTTCTGAAGACCCGGGTTCGAGCATCATATATGTTAGGGGTGTTAGCGATCAATGTAAAAAAATTAAAAATTTATCTTTGAACAGATAATGTCTTGTACTTACCCTTATTAATTAAAATAATAATAATAATCGAGTCATTTGGGAATGGGGCCTTTTACAGCTAATTTAGTGGATTATGGCGTGGGTTGGTAAAATGCGTGGTACGTTGGCTTGTCGATCATTAGCCTACTCAACCTACCCATTTTATTTGGTGTGTTTAGCCTTTTTCAGCCACATGGACATTCCGTTAGGGATGGGCACTAAATTCGAACCCGACGGGTTTTAACCCGACTCGATTAGGTCAGATTTTTTTTAGAAAATTTGGGTTCGGGTTGGGATTTTTAAAATGAGATATTCGAGTCGGGTCGGTTCGTGTTTAGGGTGAAAAATACCCGATCCGACCCAAAAAATATATAATTTTACCTTATATATTTAGAAATAATTACAATAATATCCCTCTATATATACTTTTTTTTCAATTAAGTCACTATTTTTATTGAATAAAAATATTTTTCTATTATTTCGGATCGGATCAGATGAAACTTTATTTTGATCGGGTCGGATTGGGTCTCGGATAGAGGCTTCCTTTTTCTCGGGTCGGGTTGGGTGAACCAAAAACCCGACCCGACCAACCCATGCCCATCCCTACATTCCATACATCTTTTTCCACTTTTGAGTTTATAAAATATTAAAAAAATGCAGGTTTTAGGTGTATTTTGGTTTATCAAAATTTTTATTTGAATTTTACTAAATATTTTTTTTAAAAGAAGCTCTAATCTCATTTTAATTGATGTGTATGATCTTATTATAAAATAAAAAAATTGAAAATATCATATTATTTATTTTTAACATATATTTATATTTTATAATGTTAAAATCATTTACATAATTTTATATATTTAGTAATATTCACCCTTTCAATGATTAGTATAAGATGGAAAGAACTTGTAGTGCCTTTAGAAAATAATGCAGAAAAAATTGCCAACCTATTCAAAAAGATAAATATGAGCCAAAGTATAATGGTAATTTTGGCCCAAAACCATAGGCACTAGATTTTTTTTTGGTTTTGGGAACTATTGCATTTGCTATAGTGATTTGACATGATGAGTTTGAATAAAATATATTATTTGGACAAACTCGTCATGGGCGTGACGAGTTTTTCATGCACTGTAACACTTGTCGTACCCCAAATTAATTTTAGAGATGACATAATAAGATAATTTTTTTTACCCACCTCACTTATTGGGCTAATTTTACCAAGTATAATATGTAACTTTTATCTTATTTAAACACTAATAATAAAGTTGGGTCACAAAGACTGAAGCCCACTTAAAATAAACTATCTAGATCCATATAAAGCCCAAATGACAACAATATCAAATTAACCCTAATTCTCCAGGCCACTCTTTAACACCATATATATTTTCCTCCATTGGTCGTCGAAGAGGAACCACCAAGAAAATGAAGTACAACCCACGAGTCTCCTCGTCTCGCCGTAAGAGCCGCAAGGCCCATTTCACGGCGCCGTCTTCCGTCCGCCGCGTTTTGATGAGCGCGCCGCTCTCGTCCGATCTGAGGTCCAAGTACAACGTCAGGTCTATGCCGGTCCGCAAGGACGACGAGGTCCAAGTGGTTCGCGGTACCTATAAAGGCCGCGAAGGGAAAGTTGTACAAGTGTACCGTCGCAAATGGGTGATTCACGTCGAGCGCATCACGCGTGAGAAAGTGAACGGTTCCACCGTTAACGTCGGGATCAACCCGTCGAAGTGTGTTATCACCAAGCTGAGGCTGGACAAGGATCGGAAGTCGTTGCTGGATCGTAAGGCTAAGGGGCGTGCCGCTGCTGACAAGGATAAGGGTGAAAAGTTTTCTGCTGAGTATATCATGCAGAGTGTCGATTAAGGTTATCCTTTTTTCTTCTTTCTTCATGTTTTGTTATGTTATCATTTAGGGAATTTGCAGCTCACGAACTTCAATTTTATGCCTCTTTTTATTGATACTAGAATGCAATGATGAATCTGGGAATTTTTTGACTTAGTGAGATATGTTGCTATTCTTGCTTATGTTTCCTTTTTTCTCATGGGTTTTTTTTCAGCATATTTGTGATTTCCCTCTGCAGTAGTCTGGATCTTTTAATGCATTATTTACTGATCACTTGTTAACAAACTATGACTAATTAAGATTATCATTTGGTCATTTACAATTGAAAATACATAATTAGCACAAACAGATTATAAAGTTGTTGCTGAGTTCAGCCTAGTAAATAGGGTACTGTAGAAAATCTTTACATAATTATGGAAGCACATGAATCTTGTAATAATGGTTGTGCCAATGTTTATTCTGACATCAACCCTGGTGTCTGATTCAAGCCAACTTCTGTTGTAAATGTTCCATGGTCAAGGAAATGCCGAATCTCCAAGTGTTAACAAAACTAGGTCAATAATTGTTATAAACAGTATGCCACAAAGGCGTTACTTCATTTTATTTTATGGCTGGCATCTTCGACAGAGAATTTTCTTAACCTGGATTCATCGCTTTCGACGATACAAAAGGAAACGTCTCTAATGGCTGTCTTACCTGAATTCCATTGCTCAAGTTTGAAGCTCGTTCATCGAAACAATGAACAAAAACTTCCAGACTTCTTGAACCATGATTCTCCATCATATGTTCTTCCTCTTACTAACAATTGCCTCTCTATCATTCGGACCGGTGAATGGAGTCCCCAATTTGAGAAATCTAAAACTAAAAAATGAGTATTCTTTTTTTATTAATCGAGAGATTGTTATGTGACAGATGTATTAGGGGGGGGGGGAAGAACCACTGCCTTTACCAAATATGATGCCGGGTGTTGTTTTCGACGTAAAGTCATTCTTGCGAAAATCTATCACCGCGTAAGAATATCAAAAGGGTAAATTATGTGTTTACTGGCTAAATTATCAAATTTGATCTGTTAGTACTTAAACTTTCAATTCTTTTAAAATCATACCTAATTTAATTTTTGTTTCATTTTAGTACCCACCGTTAGAAATTTTAGTTTTTGTTTCATTTTAGTACTCAGTTCAAAATTTAACGTTAAGTTTTAGAAAAAATTAAAAGTTTAGGTATTAAAATATGTCAAAATTGATAGTTTAGATATTAAACACGATAAGTGTTTAACGGAGAGATACTAAAATGGAATGAAAACAATATATTAAATATGATTTTGAAAAAAAATTAAAGTTTAGATAAAAAATGGACTAAGATTGATAGTTTAAATATCAAATTGCATAGTTTACCCATTTCAAAATAAAGCAATGGAGGTCCTATTTTCCTGCATTTAAACAAAAGCTGCACTGTAGGTAAAAAAGAAAAGCCACTTTCAAATCAGTTTCATCTTACTTCAGTCAAAAAGTAAATTGAACCCCACATTTCGCCGATTGACACAGATTAACTGTTTGAGGCGTGTAGTGTAAACTGTAAATTAAAAGGAAACAAAGTCAAATGAAATTCCTTTTACTATTTATTTCCAAAATATTAGAACCAAAATCATTCAAAGCTCTATATCTATAGCAAGTACTTGCGTGCTCGTAAGCTAACTACAGTTCTGATAAAAAAAATTAATTTAATCAGTATTAAAATAATTTAAATTAATAAAAATAGAGTTCTCTAATCTACGGTCTTAATAACTCATTTTTATTAGATTAAATAATTTTATTTTTAATTTAAATCTATTTTAGTGTTTAGATATAAACTTCAACACGAGTTAAGTGACCTTCGTAGTAAATGAATATTTACTTTTTCTTGAGTATTAAGGTTTAAACACCGAGAATGTAACGGTGTGAGCATATAATGTGGAGAGTTTAAGAGATATCTTTAAACATATAATGTTTTGTATTTATCTAATAAATATAAAATTCAGGTGATTGAGACTAGGGGTGAGCGTTCGATTGAAGTCAAAAAAATTTGATTTTTCGAATGGATGAGTCATATTTTACAACTCGGAGTTGACTTGAATTTTTTTTGAGTCAAATTGAATTTTCGAATTTGTGTTTAAATTTAATTATCAATATTTATAATATTATGATATTATTTGATTTCAATTTAAATGATTTTTATGAGCATATACAATATATATATATATATATATATCTTTCATATGTGATATACATATATCATATATAATTGAGTGACTTGACTCAAACTTGAAAATTCAACCACTAATTACTAAAAATCTTGAGTTATTCGAGTTATATTTTACAACTAAGATTGAAATTGACATTTTTTCGAGTCGAGTTTATGAAATTATAACTTGAAGTTATTTCGAATCTATTTTTTTAATTGAGTCAAGTAGAAAAAATTAATTTTTCAAACCGAATTTTGCTCACTCGTGATTGAGATAGCTAAACACGGGTAAATCAAAACCTTTTTTATTTTTCTCTTCATATTTTTATTGTGCTTCTTATACCCTCTTTGATTATTTTATTTGAGGAAAACTACCTAAACGATCACTAACCTTTTAGAAATTGAACATTTTGGTTAAAAATATATTTTCAATTTAATCACTCAACTTTTAGAATCTAACATTTTCATCATAAAAATGTTTTTTAATTTAGTCAGTCGACTTTTAGATGCTAACATTTTGGTCACCAAAAAACCCTTTCAGTTTAGCCAGTCAAGTTTTAGGCACTAATATTTTGGCAATTATTCAGTTACTCAAAAGAAACCCTGAATGATTTGAAAAATAAATTACAGCTGAAATAGATGAGATATAAATACGAGTAAGTTAGTGTCTACAAGAGCTCAGTGACTAAATTGAAATAATTGTTTTAGTTGGGTACCATGTGTCGGAAACTTCCACGTTATTGGTGAAAGTATTTCCGGAGACGCTTTCTATATATTTGAATGAAGCAGACGGTCAACTTTAGGAACGAAAGCGATTTGAAATGCATTGAAAAGAAAAAAGGGAATGGTGAATTTTTTGAACGAGAGCTTCGATTTGAAGCCCAAGCACTCGTCGGAGGAAGCTTTGGAAAGATGGAGGAAAGTTTGTGGTTTCGTCAAGAATCCGAAACGCCGGTTTCGATTCACTGCCAACCTCTCCAAACGCTACGAAGCTGCTGCTATGCGCCGATCCTATAAGGTGCGTTGGATTTTTAATTCTACTTTCTGATCTAAGATTAAACTGCTAAATATATCATGGTTTGATTTTATTTTTATTTTCTATACTTACGAGATTATGTTTCTTTTTCTGCGGTTGAAAATTGAACAAAAATTGCCCCCTATATGCTAAGCTCCTTTTATGAATAGGATCGTGAGTGTGAAATTTAGCATTGTATAGCTTATTTATTTTTGATCTGAAAAATTGCAGGAAAAACTGAGAATCTCTGTACTGGTTTCGAAAACTGCCTTCCAGTTTATCTCGGGTGAGATTTTTGGAGCAAAACTGCATTTTATTTTGAAGGAAAGCTGGCTTTCAACTTAACTGAATTTTATTTTTTCAGGTGTCGAAACAAGTGAAAGTGATTATGTTGTGCCTGAAGAAGTCAAAGCTGCTGGTTTTCAACTTTGTGCGGATGAGTTAGGATCCATTGTGGAAGGCCATGATTTGAAGAAACTAAAGATTCATGGTGGAGTGGATAGTATCGCTGAAAAACTCTCCACATCAACCACCAATGGGCTAACTTCTGACACCGATCTGTTGAATAAAAGACAACAGGTCTATGGAATCAATAAGTTTGCTGAGGCTGAAGCTAAAGGGTTCTTGATATTTGTTTGGGAAGCTCTTCAGGACATGACCCTTATGATCCTTGGGGTGTGTGCTTTTGTGTCATTGATAGTCGGGATAGAAGCAGACGGTCAACTTTAGGAACGAAAGCGATTTGAAATGCATTGAAAAGAAAAAAGGGAATGGTGAATTTTTTGAACGAGAGCTTCGATTTGAAGCCCAAGCACTCGTCGGAGGAAGCTTTGGAAAGATGGAGGAAAGTTTGTGGTTTCGTCAAGAATCCGAAACGCCGGTTTCGATTCACTGCCAACCTCTCCAAACGCTACGAAGCTGCTGCTATGCGCCGATCCTATAAGGTGCGTTGGATTTTTAATTCTACTTTCTGATCTAAGATTAAACTGCTAAATATATCATGGTTTGATTTTATTTTTATTTTCTATACTTACGAGATTATGTTTCTTTTTCTGCGGTTGAAAATTGAACAAAAATTGCCCCCTATATGCTAAGCTCCTTTTATGAATAGGATCGTGAGTGTGAAATTTAGCATTGTATAGCTTATTTATTTTTGATCTGAAAAATTGCAGGAAAAACTGAGAATCTCTGTACTGGTTTCGAAAACTGCCTTCCAGTTTATCTCGGGTGAGATTTTTGGAGCAAAACTGCATTTTATTTTGAAGGAAAGCTGGCTTTCAACTTAACTGAATTTTATTTTTTCAGGTGTCGAAACAAGTGAAAGTGATTATGTTGTGCCTGAAGAAGTCAAAGCTGCTGGTTTTCAACTTTGTGCGGATGAGTTAGGATCCATTGTGGAAGGCCATGATTTGAAGAAACTAAAGATTCATGGTGGAGTGGATAGTATCGCTGAAAAACTCTCCACATCAACCACCAATGGGCTAACTTCTGACACCGATCTGTTGAATAAAAGACAACAGGTCTATGGAATCAATAAGTTTGCTGAGGCTGAAGCTAAAGGGTTCTTGATATTTGTTTGGGAAGCTCTTCAGGACATGACCCTTATGATCCTTGGGGTGTGTGCTTTTGTGTCATTGATAGTCGGGATAGCGATGTAAGGATGGCCAAAGGGAGCTCATGATGGACTTGGGATAGTTGCAAGTATCTTATTGGTGGTGTTTGTCACAGCTACAAGTGACTATCGCCAATCTTTACAGTTCAAGGATTTGGACAAGGAGAAAAAGAAAATAATAGTTCAGGTAACAAGAAATGCATGTAGGCAGAGAATGTCTATATACGATTTGCTTCCCGGTGATATTGTACCCCTCAATATTGGTGACTAAGTCCCTGCTGACGGCCTTTTTGTCTCGGGATTCTGTGATAATTGATGAATCGAGCTTAACAGGGGAAAGCGAGCCTGTAATGGTGAATGCTGACAACCCTTTTATGCTTTCTGGTACTAAGCTTCAAGATGGATCATGCAAGATGCTGGTTACTTCTGTTGGGATGAGAACACAATGGGGTAAATTGATGGCAACCCTGAGTGAAGTGGGTGATTATGAGACCCCACTGCAAGTGAAATTGAATGGAGTAGCAACCATTATTGGGAAGGTAGGCCTGTTTTTTGCTGTCATAACTTTTACTGTATTGGTGCAAGGACTGTTCATGAATAAACTGCAAGGAGGGACAATCTGGAGTTGGTATGGCGATGAGGCATTGAAAATGCTGGAATTCTTTGCTGTTGCTGTTACAATTGTTGTTGTTGCAGTTCCCGAGGGTCTACCATTGGCTGTGACTCTGAGCCTTGCTTTTGCCATGAAGAAGATGATGAATGATAAAGCACTAGTTCGACAACTTGCAGCTTGTGAGACTATGGGGTCAGCAACAAGTATTTGTAGCGATAAAACTGGGACACTAACCACTAATCACATGACGGTTGTGAAATCATGCATTGGCATGGGTGTCAGGGAAGTAGATAACAACAGTAAAGCTTCTCTCTACTCTGAGATTCCAGAATCTGCCGTGAAACTCCTGCTACAATCCATTTTCACCAACACTGGGGGTGAAATTGTTTTTAACAAAGATGGAAAACGTGAGATATTGGGAACACCCACTGAGACTGCTTTGTTAGAATTTGGCTTGTCTCTGGGTGGAGATTTCCAAGCAGAACGACTGACATCAAAACTTGTTAAGGTCGAGCCATTTAACTCTACAAAGAAACGAATGAGAGTAGTCCTGGAGCTTCCTGAAGGAGGCCTACGAGCACAAATTAAAGGTGCTTCAGAGATAGTTTTGGCTGGATGTGACAAGGTGATTAATTCAAATGGGGAAGTTGTTCCTCTGGATGAAGAATCCATTAATCACCTCAATGCTACAATTAACCAGTTCGCTAATGAGGCTCTTCGAACCCTGTGTCTTGCATATATGGAACTGGAAAATTGTTTCTCCCCTGACAATGCCATTCTACTTTCTGGGTATACTTGTATAGGAATTGTGGGTATTAAAGATCCAGTTCGCCCTGGTGTCAGAATCTGTTGCTATTTGCCGTTCTGCTGGGATTACTGTACGAATGGTCACAGGAGACAACATAAACACTGCAAAGGCTATAGCCAGGGAATGTGGAATTCTTACAGATGATGGTATAGCCATTGAAGGACCAGATTTCAGAGAAAAGAGCCAAAAGGAAATGCTTACTTTAATTCCAAAGATTCAGGTACCCTCCGCATTTTTATTCCTTGCTTCAAAACCTTACCCAATCAGGTACTTTTAAGAAGGATGAATCATGTAGTCACACCTTGATTTTCCTTTCTATTGCAGGTGATGGCTCGATCCTCTCCAATGGACAAACATACTCTTGTAAGGCAATTGCGAAGTACATTTGATGAAGTTGTTGCTGTGACAGGTGATGGAACAAATGATGCTCCAGCTCTGCATGAAGCAGATATCGGACTAGCAATGGGCATTGCTGGAACTGAGGTATTCAACGCATTAATATTTTCGTACTCTGCATGCATCTTGTAGCAATCAAATGATTTTGTAAGCAAAATTAAAATTATGCTCGAATAAGTACTGATTCAATACCATGAGATTGAGTCAGATAGCGATGCATGTTCTCGATGGAGTGCTATATGTAGTAAGCTATATAAAATAAAGGACATAGCCTTGAGTTCTTTTGAGAAGAAGGGATCTAGACAAGGCCCCATCAGTACAGTAGGGAAGCCATTATGATAGTTTTGATGCAATATACGCTGCTTAATTTTGGATTACAACCACCTTTCATGCTAGTCAAATATTTTACTTAAATATATGAAGAAATGCCAGATGCTAACAGTACTGAAATTCAACTAATCTCAATTCTCAATTTCAGGTGGCCAAGGAGAGTGCTGATGTCATAATTCTGGATGACAATTTCTCAACAATTGTGACAGTAGCCAAATGGGGTCGTTCAGTATACATTCAAAAATTTGTACAGTTTCAACTGACAGTCAACATCGTTGCACTGATTGTTAACTTCTCCTCTGCATGTTTGACTGGTAAGAAAGGGATATGTTTTGTCTACATCTATTTTAAAGTCATATTCTAGCTTTCGTTGCAAAATGAATACGATGTTATCATATTTGCTTATGCTTTTTGCACCAAACCATTATGCAGGGAGAGCTCCTCTCACAGCTGTTCAGCTATTGTGGGTCAATATGATTATGGATACTCTAGGAGCACTTGCGCTTGCAACCGAGCCTCCAACTGATGAACTAATGAAGCGTTCACCGGTTGGAAAGAAAGGGAATTTTATCAGTAATGTGATGTGGAGGAATATCTTAGGGCAATCCTTTTACCAGTTTATGGTTATATGGTACCTTCAGGTGAAAGGAAAAGCAATGTTTAGTCTCGACGGCCCTGATTCTGACCTGACATTGAACACGGTTATTTTCAATTCACTCGTCTTCTGCCAGGTAACCTTTTATTATGAGCTGCTCCATATTTTTCCATAAACACACATTTTTGAGTCCATGATTTACCTTACAAAGTCTGCTGGGTGATTTCCACAGGTTTTCAATGAGATCAGCTCACGTAACATGGAGGAAATAAACGTTTTCAAGGGTATATTGGATAACTACGATTTTGTGGCTGTCCTTGGTTGCACTGCTGTCTTCCAAGTCATCATCATTGAATTCTTGGGCACATTTGCCAGTACAATTCCACTCACTTGCTCACAATGGTTCGTAAGCGTGTTCATTGGATTCTTAGGCATGCCGATCGCTGCTGCCTTAAAGACGATACCGTTATGAACTACAATAAGCTCAGATGCTGTTTTCCGAATGAACAGCATTCGTGCCATTATGTTACTCTTTCCGGCGTAGATTCATTAGTGACAACAAAGATTTGCCTGCTTTATTGACACGTTTGATTGCAATTAGAGAAGGTAAATAGAGATTTCATTTTGGAACATTTTGTGGATTAATTTTTTTTTTTTTATAGTTGAAGCTCTAGGTTGCTCAATTCTCTTGGTTCTTAATTTCGTTCTCTAATTGACATGTAAGGCATGTAAGCTCTTTTCTACTAATTGAAATATATACTCTTTTTCATCAAAATAATCAAATCAATAAACCCAAATCTTATCACTAAAAGACCCATCAAACTCCAATGCATTATGGCCGGCGTATTTTCTTTGCCAGGCTATTTTGATCAGACATATTGAACGCAAGTTTCCACTTGGTGCCATCTCCATGACTGATATCTGAAACACTCTCAACTACTACATTATGTAATGAACAATAATTTGAGGTTATTACAAACTTTGGTGTCTTAGATTCCCTCGTCTATATTTCAACCATCTTACTATAGCACCAATATATATCTTCCTGTTTCATCCAATGTAACATTCATATCACTAATCTGGGACGGACCCATGAATTTATGTTAGAAGAATACACGAGTATTTAAAATTTTCAGGATTAACTGTCTCTTCCGCCCCCATTGGTCCATCCCTGTTAGATAACACTTCAAGTATATTAATACACTGTTAGAATAAGAAAGCTCACACTCTGTAAAGATCCCCGCAATGAAATGAAATCAATCTTGACCTCCATTGCTTTTATTGTTATCCCACTGTTTGAAGAAGCAAACACTGCAGCTGCAGCGATGATCGACGGTCGACGATCCACCAAATCGGTTTCTTTATCGAAAACATGCTATGTATCAGATGG